GAGGTGTTGAAAATAATTTCTGTTGAATGGCCCCAGACTATTGATATTGCGTTTAATCTTAACATTTTATGAATTAATTGGCTAGTGAAAGGGAGGGATCTTTGAAACCCTACCCTGAATTGTCTAGCACTTACTCAGTGCTAGGCATTGTGCTGGGCAGTGAAGGAGCTAAAGTCTAAGGGAGGATTGGTCAGTCACGTAGACTGTGGCCCCACAGAGAGCCAACAAATGCGCCTTGGACACACACAGAACGGAATGTTAGGGGCATTTGGAGAAATAGGATGTTTCTATCTAAGGGGCTATTCTTTGCTTCTGGAAAGAAGTGTTTCTATCTGGTGGGACATAATCTAAAATCTAACAGTACTTTCTGTTTTTGGCTTTATCTTCTGTAATTAGATTTGTTGGGTTAGAGATATGTGATGTTTATTTTCCTGCAGACGTCACCCACAATTAAGTTGCTGCTACCCATTCTCCTTAGTTGCAGAATTATCTGACACATTAGAGATAATGGGTGCAATATTTAAGTAATCAACTTTGGAGAAAGACCCAGGTGTAGTACCATTGTTAAGCTCATATATTGGGAATTGAACCTCAAGTCAAAGACTTTAAAGAGAATCTGTACCACGTCAGCAAACTTCATGATGCTTTTCCTGTTTCATCAGCCAGTTACCAGCAGGGCTTAGGTTTGAGATGAAAGGCCTTGAAAGAATCACACTTCCTTTTTCATTTGTTTGAAGTCACTAGATATGACTGACTATTGGTTTGTTTCTTCTTTTAGCTGGAGAACGCCAGGCTGTCATCAGAGATGAATACTTCTACTGTCAACAGTGCCCGGGAAGAACTGATGGAAAGTCGTATGAGAATTGAGAGCCTTTCATCTCAGCTTTCGAATCTACAGAAGGAGGTAAGTAAGCATCTTCCTCTAGGAAGAGTCTAAGTTGCACGTGAAGGCCACCTTCCTCACTGTTGTCTCCCTGCTTTGCTCTGCTGATGTCACTTTTCAGAGAGCACAGTATTTTCCTGCACTCTGGTTGCCTGGTGTTTTCCCGATGTTTTCAGTTGGCGTTGTATAAACGTTCTTTGAGCGCAACTGTTATTCCTAAATTAATAGATTACCCAGAGCTCAGGAGGTTTCCCTCGGGAAGTAACATGCTGGCTTATTTCTGGGGCTTACCCCTGGACCCAGATTTCCTGACCCATCTTGCAGGCTCATCTGCACATGGCGCTGTTCCTGACGTACTCCTTTTTCATCACATTTGGAAACCATAATAAGAAAAACATGCAAAAATTCTTTGTGAGTGGTAAATGCTTTGCTATTCTAAACAAATTCTCTTAGTGTTTGAACTCCTTACTAATCATAGGGTCATGGGAAGGTAGCATTGATTGCATATTAAGAATTTAGTAACTACTTCGGTCATCGGTACACCCGAGTGACAAATGATTGCATCGCTGGATGTGCCGACCGAGTGCCTGTGAGTATTTGATGGTGCAGTCTAGGTGCAGCTTGGGCAGGTGTGGACGCTGCTTGATACCGGTTTCAGTCTAATGGTAGTGTTGATGTGGACACAAAGTACATAGACACCACCTAAGTACTCAGAAGGCTTTCCTAATCTACTGCTCACCTTAATTACTTGGGAAGAATCTCCAGCTTCCTTTTCCCTTCAGGGAGATTTTTGTTGTTCTAAATTTTCTGTGTAGGAATAAACTTTACTGTTGGATCCTATTGGCTAGTATTTTGTTGAGAATTTTTGCATCCATTTCATCAGGGATATTGGTCTGTAATTCTCCTTTTTGATAGGGTCTTTGTCTGATTTTGGGATCAAGGTAATGCTGGCTTCATAAAATGAGTTTGGAAGTTTTCCTTCCATTTCTATTTTTTGGAACAGTTTCAGAAGAATAGGTATTAATTCTT